GAAAGTTAAAGTGCTGTTTATTTATGCCTTGTTTGTCTGCATAATAGAAGGTAACAGTTTGATTTTGACTGAGTACCACCATACGCCTTGTGCTGCAAAGTAGTAATTGAGTTGATAAAGTTTCTCAGAAAAAATTCCACTGTTTGCAACTTTAAAAATCATGTTGAATGATTTTAAAAATGCAAGTTTGCTTTTCCTCAAGTTTAGTTACAGAAACCATTTAACTGCTTAGACCTTCAGAAAATCAGTCTTTCCTAATAATGTATAAAGATTCTGCTCAGTACTATGCACTACATATATGTGTGTGTATATCAACTTACATAAAGCGTTCATGCAAAACCTTATCTTCAAAATGTGACATGAAATATGGTCACTAGCACACATGCCAGTAGGCTGTGCAGTGGAGGCAATGCATTGATAGCTGCCCTAGCTTTCCCTGTAAATCTGAGGTGGCATTCACTATATTAATCTACATCTGCACAACCTATGCAGGCTGTGCCACACAGAGCACAAAATGCTTCATCTACTAAATGTATTTTACAGAGATTTCCATGGGGAAGGAAGCATCTAAATACCTTAGGAGCTCTGCAATCAAATATATGGCAATTCTGAGATTTTTCAAATGGTCCTGTATTTGCTTCCTTTTGAAAATGTAGCTGGTTAATGCCTGTGCCCGTCATTCAGACAAACAGCTATTCTGTTGAGCATTGCTGATCAGCTGGCTGTGATCCAAAAGCAGAGCTCCCACTTCGCCAGGCTCTGCCATGCCGCAGCCAGCGATGGACTCTCCTGGCTGTGATATCTTCTGTTTCCTGATCAATGCCATTCCACTAAGCAAAAAGAAATACAGTGTTCATAGGAAGGGAGTAAGCAAGGAGTTATGTCTGTTTCTCAATGATGCTAGCCTGCAAGAAGGAATGCAGACACCAGGATTTTGGTCTCCACTATCCTTTTCAGTATGCTACACATAACCCAGGACCTAAGAGGGAAAAGGAAATCTCTTTTCAGATAGCAAATTCCATATTTAGAAATTAGCATCAAGTCCTGTTTCTGTGCCAAGCAGCTCCTAGCTAGCTGAAGAACCTATCTTGCTACTCCCACCTGTGGATCTTGTGGGATGAAACTAGGTACAGATTTCTTTAAATGGTCTCTTTAAATGAAAAAACAATCTTCTTGGTCTCCTAGAAAGATTTTGATAGTTTGGGCATCATTTTCCATGTAGGATTTGTCCAAGACACATAATCTACTGTCTGCAAAGTAGTTGAAAGCTTTGGGGCCTTAAAATGACCATTAAGTAGTATCTATAAAGCTCAATATTTGTCTCAGCTAAATATCTGTGCATGCTGCTGCTCTTATCATTTAGCAGCACTGTTAAGCACTGTCTCAGAAATTTTACTGTTGCATCACCTCAACTCAGCTGCAATTGCAGATTAAACAAGAAGGAAAGCAAAGCTTTCTCTACATGTTTTGCAGCTCATATGCTGTAATCATTACAAGGACAAAATAAATGGAGAGGGGGAGTGGGGAGAGAGCATGAGGGTGTGAGCAATAAGTATAGCTGTAAGCCTGTTTTCTTTGTGCATTTTAATAGAGATCTCCTGCTACACTGAAGCCTGTATGTGGCTCAGTAATAGCCTTCTCTGTGCTGCTCTAGCCACAACTCATCATTTGCTGCATGTCTAGTACTAAAGGCTGGACCCTGCCTCCTCACACAGTGTCTTAACCTTGCCTTGCCCTTCTACCCCACAACAGCTGCTTTGTTTCCTTTCACTAACAGTCAGACATTACAAATTCCTTCCCTCTAAAGCCATTATAACAGAACCAGCACCACCCCAAGTGGTTTCAGAACTAACTGATTTAGATGCTGGAATCTGCTGCAAGGCCAAAAATAACTCCCCATTTCTTTCTCCTTCATTGGTGAAAGTAAGAGAGAAAGTGGCCAATGACAGAGACACAAATCCCCTGTAGGCATCGGAGACAAATCTATTTTGTGTCAGAAAAAAAAAAATAATGCTCTTGAAAAATGTTTCTTTGCTCAGGCCAATAGATACAGACCTGCTGCATGCAATTTTGCTGAACCGATGGTATCACTTGAATGGCTCACAGACTACATAAAATGCATTACATAATTATATTTTTAAACACTGTCCCCAGCTGTGCTGATGCACATAAAAGCTGTGTTTACAATGGACTCTGCACATGTAATTATTTTGTGGCACTAACTCTGTGCATTTCCTTGATGGATGCTCCACGGTGCATAAAATTGTAGCTTTTATCATAGATTCTTGAATATATTCTTTGGATGTTTCAGCTTTAAATACTTTGTTGTCCTCACATGGGTGAACAGGACTGGAAGGGCTAAATTATTACATCTGAGGGAACACCTTTAAGTCCTCCGGGAGCAGCAGAGGGGGAAACATGATGAGTGTTGGATTTGAGGCACCTGGGTCACTGGAAGCACTGAGCAGGAGAGCCGGCTGCTCCTTCATGAGAGGTTTCCTGTGTTGATCTTCTGGATAGAGCAAGGGCCCTGCACCTATTTGGCCTGCACAGGTTCATCCCAAGCTGATTAATGCTGCATCAACCCAGATGCTTCGTAGGACAGGGAGGCTAAACAATGCCTGGTGCCCGTGTGAGTGCAGGAGCAAAGGGGCTGGAGGCTGCCCGTGCGGAGTCAAACAGAACATGGCCTGGACTGTTGGGATCAAAGAACAGCTTTGATTAATTTCTATTCTGTTTGTATACAGTGAGTGAGCTCCCAGCATTTCACTGTGAGCTCTCCCTTCTCTGTTCTCCATGCAGTTGTGGAATACCAAGCATTTCTTCATGCTAGAGCAGTACTTGATGCATAGGACCCATCAAACAAGACAGTGTGTATTTATTTTGATCTGTTCCAGTATTCTTGAGTATTAATATCACTGTGAAAACCTAGATGCTGAAAGGATTGGTACATAACACAGTCCAAGAGTTTTGCCTGCCAAACAATAACACTTGGAAATAAATAAAGACAAAAAGTAATACAATATCTTGAACAACAGCTTCAAAATTATGGAAGAGCAGCATCATGGGTAGCTACCTTTATTTTTTTTTTTACTGTTGCTGCAAAGAACTGGCAGACTTTTATTGTCAATAAGCAAAATGGTTTGGCATTTTACCTCTCATGTCTGGCTAACCTTAGGTATAAGACTGCACAAAGGAAATGCAGGTTTTATTGTAAACTAGTTTTTAATGGCAGATGTTTGTTGGAAATCAGGTCCGCTTTCTGGTAATAGATAGCTTGAATTCCTTTGTTATCATTCCTTGCCCTTTTCAGTCCTCTGTTTGGTCATGGAAGCTGGAAGCCTATGCTTTCCCAAGGACAGTTGCACCATTTAAAGTAGTAATTGGTCTAATGCCAGTAGTGATCAAATTGTTCCAAAGCAAATGGCTTGACTGTTGGTAAACCAAGTTTTCCACTCTCACATGAATATAGTCTTCTCCCATCATAGAAACTCTTCAGCTATGGATGTCCTTAGCATTCCCTCTCTTTGGCATGTGAAGTTTACATACCAGCTTCTAGGCTGTTGATGCATTTTGCACCAAAATGTCAGGTGATGGAAGAACAATCTCTGGAGTGGAAAAAATGTGGAACTGCATAAGTTTATTGTATGTTCGTTTGCATAGTCTACCTTTCAGATAAACCTTATCCCTGTAAGTGTACTGATACTTGAAAAAGAGTCCTTGAATAACCTGCACAAAAGCTGAACCACCAGAGGTGCTACTTTGGAAAAGCAAGCAGAGGAAGGTATCAGAAGAAAGGCAGAGGAAACGCTTCTGGAGTAAGCACCCCCTGGTATTGTTCAATATATGTCTCTATCCTGTTTTTGCAACACAAGGTGTTATTTTATTAGAGATAACATGGCTTGTACATATGAAAAGAGGGTACATTTCTCACTGGGTAAGACAGACATACTCACATTACTGAAGTATGTATTGTTTTCTAAAAGGGCTTATTTCCTTCTAGTCCCTTACTCTAGAGAGCCCTGCTGAAAGTCTGTCAGCCATCTAGGCCAAAATATGTTTTTCAAATATGTGATCATCTTATACAAATCAACATAATTCCATGTGCTTTCATAGAGCTATGACTTAAACCAGTGGAGGATCTAACTCCTCGGTATTTTATGTAACACAGATAAACACCAAAATTTGTGATCAGAGAGGAAATATTTCTAGGTGTAACATGCTTGCATCATTACTCTTCCACATTAGTTACAGTCCTTTGCTGCAGCCACTTGTGCAAGACTTTTGTGCTTATCTTTACAGTACATGGAGATAAGGGTTGCTTGTATTTTGCAAAACGTTAGTGTTATGTACAGATGAAGGCAAGAATCCACACTGAAATTAGTGCAACTTTTGCAGACTACTGTCTGAACCTCGATCTTTGCCTTTTTGTGTCTAAGTCATCAGGGACTTCTCTTTCCAAAAGCAAAACAATGCTTTGAGAAGTCACAGTTCAGTATAAATTATGTCATCACTATTAGGTGTTGAGGCATCATCTTTGTTGCATTAAGTCCCTCTTGGAAACGTCCAATAAAGCCAGAAAGAAAATGAGACTTATTTTACAGATTTTTTGAGCACTCTAATTCCATTCTTGCTATAATATTATCTGTGAGAAGCTTTTTCTCTTTTAATTCCATAAAGCTCTATCACTATATTATCTAAGAAGCTAAGTACTGAGATTATGTAAGTTGAACATAATAGGATGTCTGTAAAACTTTGCTCCTTCCAGCTTTGGAAATTTCTACATTGCTCTTCTACAGTGACTCAGCTGAAGATCTCCCATATGATCTAGGAGAATGTGTGGTAGGGTGGGATTTCCACCCTTTGGAGGAATGTAGAAAGATCCTCGGGTATGACCTCAGCTTCAGCCTTGCTCTCTTCTCGTGTCCCCTTGACTTTGCTGGGCAATCTTTAACCACTGAGCAGCAGATGCTTGCTGTAGTTCCTGCCAGGCATTTCACTTCTGTCTTTCTAGGAATGTTTACCTAATGTTTTCCTAGGAAAAAAAAATCCACCTTTTGATTTTGCACAGCAGGAGAATTTGCCTGTTGTACCAGATAATAACCTCAATATGTACTTTCACAGTCTGTTTCTTCTAGAGGATATTTTTGGCCCGTAAGTGGTGTTTTAAGAATAATTCTACCAGTACTATTTTTATAATATGTATCACTTCATGGTGCATTACCAACCATATGGCCAAGCACACTACATGCAGCTACATTGCAAGGTTTACTGCCCAGTAGACATGAGAAGCATTTATTTTGAATTATATGTATTGAGGAAAAAAATTCCACTTCAAAGGTACAGGCTTAGGACCCTTATTTCTCTTCTTGGTTCTCCCTTGGTTTTAAATGAGGTTCAGCTTTTCTGCCTTGGAATCTCACTGCCATAATGTGGGCTCAGAGCAGCTGTTTTTACTTTGCTTTGCTGATAACTGGCAGGAGTTAAAATACGGAGGAGTAAATTCTGCCTGGCTGCTACAGGTTGCATCACACAATCACTGACTGGTAGGTCTCTGAGAATTGTTACTGATAGCTAGATTTTATCTTGGTAGGGGTAAGAGCTCATGAAACAGGATGACTCAAGGAATGACTAATGAACACTTTATGATGAAACTTCTGTCTAAGCCATGTCAACTGTGACCAAAAATTATCACCAGGGAGTTATTTGACAGTCTAGGGTGAGTGAGCAGATGCCCTGAGTCCACCTTGTTGTAGAGAAGTGTCTTGAATGTAAAATCCACTAACTCAGTTTGTATCAATTAATGTCAGTGGGGAAAACCACAAATGGTGATGTGGCATGCTGGTGAACTATGCTGTTACCCCTCAAGTGGCTTCTCCCATTTAGAGCTGGCCATTTAATGAGGTAGATGATACTGCCATTACTTTGCGTTTTTCTCTTTTGTAAATAAATCATTCCAGTTAGATGTATACACACAGCTTTGTTTTGTGTGTTCATACAGAAATGCAGACTCCCAGGAACAGTTCCAGCTACTCAGCTGGGATTACATTTTCAACACAGGCATCATCATATTTAGGTGGGCCTCCTATGCAAATGTCACGGGGAGTTCCCCTGTGTGACTCTAATTTATGACTCTACCAGAATATCCTTCTTCAGTTCCTTGATCCTAGGCCCTTTATATATGGTTTACAGGTACCTTTGCTTTTCTTGGGACACCAGTAGCTCCTGTACAATCCCAAATCACTAGTTACACGCCTAAGTCAATGTGGAGGTATCAACTACTGTATTGACTTAGCAGTGCTCAGTAAAATTACCTTCTGCCTTCTTATGCCAATGGTCATGTCTTGCTTTCTGTACAGCAACATCCTGCCAAAATGCATTATTTCCCCTGGAGAAGAACAAGCTCCCCCTTTTGGGCAGGGTACAAATGAGTCCAGACGTGCTCAAGGTGCGGGGGCTAGAAAGGGGATATGTGCAAGTTTTGCTCTGGGCAGTCAAGAGACGAGATGGGGATCATGGGAAGTCAGAGGCTTAGCCTTGGCTCTGATAATGATTTTTTTGTGTGGCCTTTTGTAAGCTCTTTCATGTTTCCACCTCATTTTTCTCAATCCTAAAATGGAGTTCAAAATCATCACTTCTCTAACACCTCCCCCTCCACACACACACATAGAGTTGTGAGAAGGTTTAATGTTTATCTCAGAGGCTTTGAACAGTATTATACATCCAGGGAATGTATACAGGCATTTAGACCCCAGAATGAGCTTTAGAAAAACATCAGTAAAGAAAACAGCATTTATATTTTAATCATATTAATCATAAATTTAGGATTGGAACAGAATATGTGATTAACAAACCTGCAAAACAAGCTTTGTTTCATTGGCTTGAGCTGCTTTCTAGTTCTGTTTGTGTACGTCAAAGTGATGTTCAGTCTTTTTAAATGAGTCACAGGACTGGAAGAACAAAAATATTTGATGGTAACATATAGCAGCAAAACAATTACTCTTTTCATTCTGACAGGCATGATAACCAGAATAGCAAGTTAGAGCTAGAGGTCTAGGCTGGTAGTTTCTTTCCACATATCAGGGATTTTAGATCTGCTTGCAAGACAGTGAAATAGAACTGAAATGTCATAAAAATTAAAAGATAACACCAGATCAAACAATAAAAGCAAGCATGCCCGTTAGGATACAACTATTTACACTTAGAAAGGCACTACTGATCAGTGAGTCCATGCAGTATTCTCACACAGCACAGCCTTGTCTAGCAGCTTTCTGTACCTTTATCCAGAGGAGACTCCTTTCCACCCTGCTTGCTGCATTGCACCACTGATTTAGTGAAGACATCATCCTCATAAGGATGCTCTTCTAACTCACCTCTGAAATCCGCTTGCTTTTCTCCTCTGACAATTAGGTTTAAATGTGCTGCAGCAAAGTACTCATCCTTAGCAGTCGTATGGCTTTTTAAGTGATAAACTGCATTAGCAAATTCCTTATTAGATAATCTATCAAATGAGGTCATACATAATTTTAGCAGTCTCATCTTGATTTATAGCATGATCACAGCAAATTATGCACACACAAACCAGCATGCTAGCTGTCAAAGTCAGGTATTTTTACTCTGCTAAAAACTATTGCCAGGCCAGCCCAGTGGCCTACTGGTAGAACTCTGCATCACCATGGCTTGCCCAGTTTGCAGGATAGCCCTCAAGCTCACCCCTCACCTTTTATTAGGACTGATGAGAGTTCAAGGCAGTAGGTTAAGTCCTTGCTTCATACATTCTAACAATAATCCTTAATGGTGTTTATTCTGACAGATTTTCCATACTCCTCTTAAGTAAGGGCAAGGGTAAGCTTAGGTATGGGGAAACTGGGTCTGCGGGGTGCAGATCTTCTCCCTGCCTCCCTTCTGTGTTCCCAAGGGAATGAAAAGCTAGTTGGAGTGAATCATCAGGCAGCATTGCGCACGACTGTAACAGAGTCTGCTTCCCAGTCCAGGCTGCTTGGGCTGGTAGAGACTTGGTTGCCTGCACCCACTGGCACTGGAGGAGGCAGTGCTCCATCTCCTACAGCCATCTGCACTGGGGAGCCATGCCACCTGCCTTGCTACAAGCACAAGTGATGAGATGCAGGGAAAAACGGGAAGGATCTTCAGGAGAAAATGCTGTTTCTGAACTGCCCTTCGCTATCACTGCTGCTCTGTTGTTCGCTGCAGCGCCCATGCTGGAAGTAAATTGCTCCCGGGATCCAAAAGGGACACAATTCCTATCCCCCAGCTTCAAACTTCTGCAAGTAACATTTCATCCATGGAGATTTATCTGTAACTACCATAGGGGGGAGCTGCAATAAATTATCTGATCTTGCCTTTCTCTTCACCTGCTCTCAACTCACATTGCTATTTCTAGGGTTTAAGCTGTGCAAAGTGGCAAGAGTACATGTCATCTCCATTTCCCACTGGACTTATGGCCAAACTCTGTCTGTGAAGGACCAAGTGGGATGGAACAAGATGTGTTCTTTGGCATTCCAGGTATCTTGCCCCTAAAATGTAAAAAAAAACTAAATGAAAATCTGAACAAAAATTTCCCCTGGAAATATTAGATCATAGAGGCCTAACTATCACTATATGAAAACTTCTTGAAACGCTTAATACAAAAGTCTCCATGTTGTATTCACAATAATATTGCTGGGATGAGAGACTGGAAGAAACCGAAGTCATTCATCAAAATGAGCTAGCAAAGGGCATGCTTTCAGCGGATGGCACTGCTGTTTTGCACACACTATGGTAATTTGGCCTAATCCTGCTGAATGAGCTTTTCATGCATATGTGTGTATGCATATCTGTCATGAGTGAAATCTATTGCATCCTCAGTTGAGAAGCTGTGTGTGGCAGATTGCAGCAGGGTTTGGGGAAAGAAATTCATGACCCAGGCTAAGAGCAGAGCATAGGAGTTCCCTCTGGAGCTCACAAGCCAGAACAGCAATTGCACCCCCTCCCCACACTGGTACCAACATCAGTCTGGGGTCCCTCTTCTCTCTGCTCCTTTTACCCCATGCCAGAGTGGCTGAAGATGCAGCAGAGAGGATGATGAGAAGGGGTTTGTTTCTTTAGGGCACAGGTATACAGTGAACATTGGGCAAGTGATGGAGAACCTGGGTTGTGCCAGCCCTGCAGTAAGGCTGTGCCACAGGATGGAGAGGGGTGAATGGGCAGGAGTGGAAAGCTGTCTGCAGAAGGTGTGAAATGCCCCCATGCACCTAAGGATGAGTGCTGAGGGAGAGTGAGAGGCTCTGTGGACAGCCTTGTAGACCCCGCAGCACTACCATGCAAACCTTCTCACCTGGGTCTGTGCTGCAGGGGCATGTCCCACTGAGCAGCACTGACCAAAACTGCAGCTGGAAGCTGGGCAGAAAGTCTCCTTTGATGCAGTGGGCACTGGGCTCCCTGAGTGCCCTGGCTCCTGGATAGGAACCCTCAGGTGGGCAGGGAAGGGGGTACACCCCCATCTCCCCACTTTACCTCTGTAGGAGTCCCCTGGGGGAGCAGCTGTGGCACCCCCCGGCTCCGTGGGGTGATGGGGCCCCCTCAGCAGCCCCGGGTTGGCCGCTCCTTCTGTAGACCTGCCTCTGCAGAGGTGTTTGCAGCCATTGGCACCGGCGCTGCAGCGCTGGTTGCCTGGCAGCAGGAACGCGTCCTCTTCCCCATGACAAACATCATCTCCATCGACCCAGACCACCTCCCGTTTCAAATGTCTGTCCATGCCGGAGAGCCCAGCAAGGGGAAACGTAGCTCACCGAACAGAGTAGAGCAAGCCTCATTTCATCACTGGAGCGATGCAGGGACCCTTGCACTGATCAGCTGCCCCACAGGTGAATTCATCCAGCACCATAAGTAAAATTCTGTGTGCTCGGCCATTCAGCACAGATTAGCACTAAGAGGACAAGCCCCCTTAAAGAAGTACATGCTAATTAGGTGCATGAATACTTAGCTTTCTACAGAGCTGTCAGAGGAAAAGTAACTGTGAAGCTAAGCCCCACATCTGCCTTTTTGTGTCTGGGTTTTTGGGTCCTGCTGAAAACACACTAATGTTCTTGATGTGCCGAAAGAAGGCGAAGTGTGGTATCCGATCAGGAGCACGGCGTTGCTACAGGTCTCTGTGGCTTATAAAGCATGTGCAGTGTGTTTCTCTGCTCCCAGCTTGGCACTCAGCCCCGAGCGTGCCGCTGCATCCAGCCTCTGTGCTGTAGCAACTCTAGTGCTGAACATCATCACAATCACAGGATTATGAATTTGAGAGACACAAAACCCACCAACTTCAGAGATATCCATCTTCTTTAAAAGAAAGCAAGCCATTATGAGTCAGGCACATTATCTACCAGCAGCCCACTGAAGAGAGCTGTCTTCTGCAGGGAGGTGGAGGACAGGAGGATGCCTGATGAGTGCAGCAAGGGCGAGGGCACAGGGAATGGAAGGGGGGAACACAGGAGCTGTGATCTCCATGACATGGTGCCAGTGCTGTGCAGGGAGCACCCAGGAGAAGAAGCCAGTGAACTCTTCGCCCAGGGGACTGTGGTGTACAGCAGGGATGTGGATTTGGGCTGCTCAGGCTCTGAGAGAAGCTGGGTTTGACGGAAGTGCGAAGGTGCCCAGCAGTGCTGAGCTCCAAACCACCACAGCTGATCGCTGCCTTGCAAGGTGGGGTGGGTACCTCTATGCTGGGGTGTAGTTATTTGTAGAGACAGAGTATAATGAGACCCTCTCTTCCTGCCTGCAGGAAGGCTGAAATTAGTGTGGCTTATCAGGCATTTTCTCAGTCTACTCTGAAACAGAAGATTTGTCTCAAGGAGGCTCAAGCTACATGAAAGCACTCACATCAGGTGCAGAGGCAGCTCCCTCCTGACTGTGACTGGTTAATATGATGTGGGAATAAGCATCATGCCATTTAGGAGCTGTAACTTCATCCTCTACAACATCAGCATCAGCCTGTCCCCACCTAGTGCTGTGGCTCAAGGGAGCCAAAGACAAGGCAAAAGGAGAGGGGCAGGGACTGGCTGCAGGGAGGTACCTGGCAGGGGAGTGCAGCAGCTTGTCTGTTTTCAGGAGAAGAAGGAAATCTCTGGTAGGTGCTGCACAAGAGGAGCTGTGGCGCAGGGGTGTAGCTGTTGGGAGGAGGGTAGGGAGGAAGGGCTGCTATTTAATTGCCAGCCCTGGTTCTATCAGCAAATAGGAGGACAAGCTGTCACTGGTGTGCAAGGTAGCAGATGGCCTAATTGTGAGATTTCTCCCTTGCAAGAGCAAAATGCTATACTGTTTTTAACATCTTTGCCTAAAGCTGAGTGCTAGCTTCAGATACCAGCAAGATACACTGTACAGAGGCACTTTGTGCCAGAAATGTGCTCTAGTGATAATCAGGAGAAAACGGTCCTTGAAGTGACATTTAAAAAATAATTATTATGGCCTATTGCTGTTAGTCACACATCCCGAAAACTGATCTGGCTAACAGAGCTTTCCAAAGCATCTTCTGCTTGACAGATCATCTGGAAATTATGCCATCATTGTGTCACCGTGTCTCGCCTTATAACCCCCAGGACACTCTCTATGCACACCATTTCTTCCCTCTTCTGGGGGGAAAATAATTCTCTCCGGCTTCTGATTTTTCTCGTGCTGTTTCAGCTGGTTTTGTGCAGATTCTTGTCTCAGCCATTTGCTGGAGAGCACAGGGCTTCCTTTCCCAGAGGCAGCTATGAAGCGTTGCCACCTCATCTCTCCTTGGGTGCCTCATAGAAGCTCAATGCTCTGCAAAGCTCCAGGCCTGCAGACAGAGACAGCAGAGCTCGCCAGTGTCACACTAATATCAGGTGCTTGAAACTTTATATTGAAGGTGCAGGGTCGTCAGTGGTGAGTCGTTATGGCAGGTGCATTTTGTCAGCTCCAGCTCTGATCTGACAACAGAGGAGAGGGCAGTGAGTAGCACCTCTCTCAGCTGGGTCAGGTTTGCAGAGAAAATTCTGATAAGGACTTATGTGGAGAGAAAACTTTGACTAACCTGTAAATGTGCTTAATATTACTTATCGGTGAGGGCAAAACCCATGGCAAGCATCAGTTTGGAATGGAATCAAGTGAATGCTCTGTTTGAGGATAACAGCCCTTGTTGCTTTTTTTGCAAGCCAATGACCATATTTTCAAGGACTTTTGCCTGCTGAGTACATTATGTATTGCCTCTTCCTGCCAGGCCTTTAAACTTCATGATGTCTGTTGGGGTTTTCTGTTAATAAAAGTGTTTTAATGGGTTATCTGTAAGCTTTGTCTCCTAAGTATTGGGATGTATTAAATGTTCTTTAAATCTACCTTTCCCTCACTGTCCCTCTTCAAAAGACTCTTATCTATGCAATAGATGTCTGTGCTGCAGCACTGTCCTCCTTCTTCTCCTCTGACTTTCTTTCCCTGTTTGCTCTCCTGCTAAAAAACA